GTCCCATGTCCCCAACCCGGGCAGCTGCAGAGCCCCCTGGCCACAGCTGTCTGAGGGGGCAGGGCATCCCAGGAGGGGACCCAACCTCCCGGGTGGTCAGGACAGACCAGAGCGGCCCTGGGAAGACCCAGCCCCAGGCGCACAGGGCCCCGCAGGCCCAGGGCCCCTCCTTGAGAGCCAGCTGTTGGGCACAGCAGAGGGAGAGTGTGGAAGAGGAGAGCTGGCCCTGGGGCTCAGGGGACAAGAGAGGACTAATCCCCGTGTCCACCCAGCCCGGGGACACTTGATCTGTGGCGAGGAACGCGAGACACTTCCTGCTCCCGGCGGAATGCAGTCGCCATCTGTGCGGAGCTAATGGATGCGTGTCGGAGGCTCGGGGAATCCGGGCCCCAGGGCCTGCCGCCTCCTGGAACGTGCGTGGGTGGCGGGGACCACTGGGCAGGTGGCCTGGCCAACCCTCCTGGGAAGCCTGTGGACCACGGCTGCCCAGGAGGCGCCCTGCTCCAGGTGGACCAGGCTCATGGCTGGCCTTCCCGTCCCCAGCCTGCCTCCTGCCCACCCTAGGCTGTCCTGTCACCTCCAACCTTTGGCCTTCAAGCACAACTCTTCAAAGACATTCACTCAAAAACGGGGAGATGTGAGCCCTCTCCTGGATGAGGATGCACTGTTCAGACCTGCGGGGGCAACTGGGGTCCATGCAGGCCCCAAGCTGGACAGAGAGGTTGTGCTACCATCAAGCGCGCTCCCCTATGGTCCACCTTCGGCTGGCCTGCTCCAAAATGTGTGAGGTGGACTACCACCTTCCCGACCATTAAGATGCAGGCCAAGAGGGCCTGTTATCCACTGCCATGCTCTCTACTCACTACCCCCAGTTCTTCCCCGTGTCCCAGGAGGAGGAGTTCAGCCCAAGGAGGGACTCAGATTCATGTTCTCAAGGCTAGAATGATGATGGGATTCACTCTGACCTCGTGCTCTTTTTTCTCCTTCATCAGTAACGCAAGCAGGAAGACCTGCACTAGGATCCATGAGTCTGCACAGCTCCGGAAACACCCAGTGGGAACACAGAAGCAGACTCAGGGCCCAGGCCAACCCTGCTGCCCCAAGAACTTTCCTGCTCAGTGATTTTTTTTAGTGAAGTCACCTTTCTGGGCCTAGTCCCTCTGCCTTCAAGAGCCAGCTCAAGCTGGGCACAGTGGCACACGCTTCTGATCCCAGTGACTAGGGAGGCTGAGGTAGGAGGATTGAGAGTTCAAAGACAGCCTCAGCAACTTAGCGAGGCCCTAAGTGACTTAGTGAGACATTGACTCTAAGTTAAAAAAAAGAAAAAAATATATATACAGAGAGAGAGAGAGAGAGAGAGAGAGAGAGAGAGAGAGAGAGAGAGAGAGAGAGAGAGAGAGAGAAAGGGCTGGGCATATAGGTCAGTGGTTAAGCACCCTTGGTTTCCCTCCCCAGTACCAAAAAATAAAAATAAAAAATAATAAATAAAAAATAAAGCGCCAGCCCACCCTTCCACAGATGAATGGATAAAGAAAAATATGGTACCTATACACAATGGAATATTACTCAGCCTTAAAGAAGAATGACTTTATAACATTTATAGGTAAATGGATGGAGCTGGAGAACATCATGCTAAGCCAAACCCCCCAAAACCAAAGGCTGAATGTTTTCTCTGGTAAGTGGATGAGGATCCCTAATGGGAGGGGGTCTTGGGAAGAACAAAGGAACTTTGGATGGTGCAGAGAGGAGTGGGGGGAGGGTTGGGGCTGTGGGGATGGGGAGGACGGTAGGAAGAGACAGACATGATCGCCCTCTATGCATGTGTGACGACACTACTGGAGGGACTCGCCCATGTTCAGCCTGCAGCAGGAGAAGTTGTGCTCCGTTTGTGTACCATGTGTCAAATTGCATTCTACTGTCGTGTATGACTAATTAGAACAAATTAAAGAAGAAGAAAAAAAGAGAACAAGAGCCTGCCCAGAGGCAGCTTCGGGGGACGGGGACTTCCGATCCCCCCCACCCCCCAGCTCTGCCGTCATCTTTCTTTGTCTCCACAGTGCCATCGAGGCGCCCAGCACTCTGAGGGCCACTTCCCAGGGAACTTGAGCCACCAGCTGCCGTCCCACTGGCTTGTGACACACCTGCCCAGATGTGTCTGTGACTTGTCAGCTCCCGCGGCAACCCGAGCCAGACGCCATCTGTCTCTGTGCTCATTTTCTTGGTCAGTAAACTGAGACTTAGGGGATGGAGGCGGGGTCGGGATTCCGCCCTCCTTCCTTTCAGGGAAGGTCCCTGGGCTGCCCCCCCTGCGTGCCCCCACACAGTTGCTGGAGGCCTGCTGGGTGCCAGGCATTGTCCCCCTTGCCAGGGTGTGAAGACAAATGGGGCGCAGCCTGCCAGGAGAGACAGATGCCCCAGCACATGCTGCGGGAGGAAGGGCTGGAACAGCGCAGGTCGCAGGGCCACTAGGCAGGAGGGGGCGTTGCTGGGGACAGAGAAATGTCCCAGAGAAGGCAGCAAGCCTTTGTTTCCCCGAGGCCGAAAGCCCCCAAAGACAGGACGCAGGGCTTCCCGCACCTTCCCTCTCCTCTGGGCGCGCGGCGACCCCCACCTCGTGACTGCGTGGCCGCATCTGTTGGTGCGCTCGTGGGAATCCGCGCTGACAATGTATTTGTTTAATTTCCAGCGAGAGGGGGAAGATTTGTCAGGGTCAGGGATACGTCTTGCATAAAACATTTTGATTAAACTCTGTTGGCCAGAGAATCCCTTTCCGTCGTACTCGGGAGATCTAGCTGTCTCCTAATTGGAGCTGCGGCCTGGCCCGCGCCATCCCGCTCGCTCGGCTCGCCTACGTCCCTGCCAGATGTTTCTGGAAGCGAATTCCTCCCCAGAAGAAGCCCCAGGTGTCTGGGGAGAGGTGTTAACTCGCGCGGCCCGGGAGGCCGCTGTGCATGCAGCTGGAGGACAGCCAGCGTCCAGGAGGGAGGCCGGGGGAGGAGGACGTGCTGCCGGAGGTGGCCGGTGGGAGTCCTGAAAACCCAGGACCCTCTGGGCCCTCAGCCATGTGATAGGTGTGGAGGCCCTGGGGGAGCCCGCGGCCAGCTGACACGCTGGGGTGGTGGTGCTGGGCTGGGACGGCTGAGGCCATCGTTGGCCTTGAGAGAAGGGGCCAGCCGAGGGGCCCTGTGGGGAGCGAGCAGAGCAAGCCGAGGCCTCCTTGGCCTTGACCGGGCAGAGAAACCTCCGCGCCTGCGCAGTCCCGAGCTGCCGGCCCCTGGGGAGGGCGCGGGGCCAGCCAGATGTTGCCGAGCTCTGAGCGGGGTGCAGGAGGGCCCCCCAGCTGCGAGAGGGAAGAGGGACGCTTTCTCCTCGCCGAGCGCACGTCCACCCTGCATCCCCAGATGTCCTACTGAGAAGGAGTTCTTGAGCACCATTTCCAGTTTTGGAAACTGAGGCTTGAAGGTGAACCGGCCAGGCCCGGCTCCCTGTCAGTCAGAACGTGCCGGGCGCGACCCTGCCAGGGTGTCCCCTCGGAGTTCAAGGCAAACGCCGCCCATGGATCCCAGCTTCGTGCACACGGAACCCAGAGGCTGCCTCTGAGCCTCCTCCACCCAGGTCTCAAGCAGCTACACCGACGACTAGGTTTGACGGACGTGCTGCCCCAAGCTGGTCCTTGCAGTTTAAGTCTCCAGATTCTCGGGCTGCACTGTCCAGTGCTGTGTCCACAAGCCACACGTGGCTGTTGAGTGCCTAGGGTGTACCTGATACGTAACGGTACTTACTTCCGTATTCACAATCATTCTAGATTTCAAAAGATCAGCAGAATAAAAAAAATGTAAATTATCATCAACAAATTTTATAATTTCATGTTGATTCCGTGTCAGAATGTGATGATATTTTGCACAAATCCAGTAAAACATAAAATGAATCTCCCTTTTTTTTTTTTTTTTTTTTGAACTGTTGAAACGTGGCTGCCTGTGCTTCTTTGGACCCCGCGGGCCTAGGGCTGAGGTTGCTGTGAACAGTGCCCCTGGTGGCTGGGACGGGTCAGTTCGCCCCTGGGCTGGGAGACCAGCTCTAACCCACAGCAGGTTGCCCCCACCCCACACTGCAGTTTCCTCATCTGTGAAATGCAGGCACTCACCGACCCTATCCTGCAGGGTGGAAATGGAGGTTGAAATGGATTGATTAGCACGTGTTAAGCGTGGGAAGCAGGGCCCAGCCTTGTAGACGATGCTGAGCAAGCTCAGCTTTATGAATATCTTGTTGCCTGGGAGGCAGAGCCCTGTCCCTTTCTCCCCTGGTCCTCCCGACCTCGGGGTCCCACTCCAGTGCAGCCTCCACTCCTCAGAGGGACAATGGATAAATGGACCAGCCCCCTCTCCCCCAGCAAGAAGGGAACAGCTTCCTGTCGCGCACTCCTGAAACCACTCTTCCACTTGGCCAAAGCCATCTCGGAAGCCACTTCCTGTGTCTCGTTGAGGAACTTCCCCATGACCCCTCCTGTGGGTTCCTGCCTGACAAGCCCCTGAGCTCTTGAACCCTGAGCCCCAGCCCTAATCTCTGGCATCCTCAGGGGCCCCCTGCTCTCTGCCTGTTTCCTGAGTCTGTTCCCACAGCATGTTTGCTGACCCTGGCGTTTCCAGGGCAGCTGCTAAGCCAGGTCCCACTTCCCAGGGAGCTCTGAGGCTCGTTAAAAATAGTGATAGCCGTGTCCTTTCTGATACAAAGCAACTGAGGCTCATTCTGAAGTTGCTGCAAAACTTAGAAAATACAGAGCAATGATAAAAGGGGGGGGGGTTCTTTGTTCATGTCGCCATTAAGATTGGGCACTGGATGGTTGGCTTCCCAGGCTCCTTCTGGAGCGGTGTTATCAGACAGGAACATAAAACCAGGCCGTGGAGCTGGGTCCTGTTTTTTTTTTTTATTTTTTTTTTAAATTTTTAAATTAAAAAAAAATTAGGAGCTATTTTTTTTAAAAAAGTAAGACAAACGGTGAATTAATTTCAACACTGTATTTTATTTAATCTCCTTGCATCCCAAATACCACCGTCTTGATGTGTAATCAATGTAAACATGTTGATAAGACAGTCTGCATTCTTCTCTCACACTGAGCCTTTGGAATGTTGCTTACATTCACAGCCCATCCCAGTTGGAACCAACCACATTCCAAGTGGCCACCATATAGAACAGCATGTATCTTTTATTTTATTTATTTATTTTTCTTAAGCAAGTGGTCTGTGCCTGAGTCTGACGACGACATGGGACTGGCATTGCCTGAGAACCCTGGGACCCTGCTGGTCCACGTCTGACCCTGGGCTTTGCAATCGCAAATTCCTCTCCTTCTGGGCAGGCCCCTCTGAGCGCCCTTTGTGGGATCCACACGCTCTTCCCCAAGAGCTCTAGGCATTGTCCCTTGAAGAGTAACTGAATTCCAGAAAAGGGAGAGGAGGAGAATAGGTCCACAGTGCTCCGTGACCCCCAAGGGAGGACTGGGCCTCCACCACTCCGCAAGAATAAGAAATGGGGGGCCCTGGAACCCCCGTCGTCCCCACTGGAACGGCTATGCCACTTTCCCAGACTTCCCCACATTCCTGGGTTTGGGACTCTGCAGAAGCTCCCAGACGCCTAGTACTTCAGGCTTGACATCCTGCCAACTCGGGTTCTGCGCAGTGGGCTCCTTGTACTTCCCGAACCGTGTGTCTCCCAAGATGAAAGACTGTAAAAGAAGATAAAAATAGTCCCAAGGAAAGGGACTGCTTCAGCTGGCCCAGTTTGCAGAGACCCTGTTTCATCTCCAATGTGAATAATTCATCCCTTCTAAACTACTGCTGTTAACTTAGGAGCATCATTACGGCATTTTCTTTGATGAAGCCCTTAAAAAAAAAATCATAAACACCCAGCACATTAGGAGGGGCGTCTGAGAGCGTCATTCACAGTCATTCGCTAGCTCGGGAAGCAGCACCCATGATCCGTGCCATCCACTTGTTCCCGAGTTGACATATCAAAGCTGCCTTTGGTTTTCTCCAAGGCATCGACTGCGGGGGGCACGACCTGGTTCCTTTTGAAGAGTTTGCAGAGTGGCCCTGGAGATGGAAACTGCCACAACCTGGAGATGGTAACGGAGGAGAACGGCCCCACCCCTACCATCGGCTCTCTCCCTGGGGCCTCTCCCAAGGACCAGCAGGAGGAAGTAACTGTGGGGCAAGGCCGACTTGCTGTGTTCTGGGGAAGCCAGAGAAAGGCTGGGAGTCTCCATAAGGACAGGATCACAGCGGCCACCTCCACTTTAACCAAGCACTTTCTAGAAGCCAGGCCGCCCTCATGGAGCTGCGGGAGCAGTGTCTCTCCCTGCAGCTCTGGGCAGAGGTTCTCTCTGTACCCAGTTTGCGGTTGCACACACCAAGGTGCAGCAGGAAGCGTGAGCACTGTCTCCTGTCCTGTCCTCCGTCCCTCCAGAGAACCCGTCATGGGGAGAGCCACTCCACTCCAACTCTGTTGGTCTCCTTAATCTCAGGACTGAGGACCGAGTGTGGAACTGGCAGCTCCTGAACTGGTCCTCAAGGGGTGACCGAGCTCAGTGACAGAAGGTCCAAGGTCATCTTGAATCCAGCCCTTTCTACCAGGCCAGCCCATCCCTCCTGTGCAGGCCACCTGGGCTCATGCCACGTGCCCCATTTATGGGCTTCTGGCACTGGCTTCTCCAAATTAGCTCTACTTTTCTTCTTTTTAAAGTTGTGAGATAGTTTATTCTAGCAAATTCTTATTCAGAAGTCTAAATGTAGGACGGATTTTCAGGAGATTGCCCTGGTTAAAGTGTGGGTGGGGGTGGGCAGAGACCCCTCGAGCAGCCCTCTCAGGCAAACTGAGCCATGAAAACCACCGCTAGGGGCCTGCCTTGTGTGACCGGGTCGGTAAACTGGGTCCTGGGCAAAGGGCTCCTGGGGCCATCTCTCTGGGGGCCCTGGTGCCCCCAGCCCCCCAGTTCACCAAGTTCAGGTTTCCAGCCCCACCCCTCCGCCACCTTCTCCGTCTCCTCCATGAGCCGGCCTTGTCCTCTCCATCCCCAATGACAGTTGATGGATTCCAGGTTTTCTGTTTCACTTGAGAGCAGGGAAACGAAGCCCAGATCTTTGGTTTGGCTTCGCACATGGAAAACCCACCCGCTGTTTGGCCAGGGTTGGAGGGGGCTGACCAGGTGCCTCTTGGCCTCTGGAGCCTTCTTCCCAGTACAGCAGAGCCGGGGTGCAGGGAGGCCCAGTGGGGACAAGGCTTGGCAGAGCCAGCAGTGGAGTGGCCAGCATGGCAGCTGCCCCCAGCTGCACCCCAGGCCTTCCCGGAGGTAGATGCAGGGCCCCGCTCAGGCCCCGTGGGAAGGGGATTGGAAACAATTTTCCGAGCCTTAAGCAAATCCACAGCCCTGAGATGAGCTCACTTCCTCCCCCTCTTGGAGGGGGACCGAGGACTGAGCTTGTCTCCTTATATGGAGCCTCAGGCCTGGGGCCCAAAGGCCCCAGAATCCCTATCTTGGCCACCTGCCTCTCCCACCCCCGCCTGAGCCCCTGTCCTCTTCCGAAGGTGGAGGTCAGCCCTTCCGGCCTCGGCACTGCCGGCTGTGGGGCCCAGGGTCCCCTGCTAGAGGATGGAGAGCTGCACAGTCCTGGCTGCTCTTGTTTGCCTCGGGCTGATGGTGGGGCCCACGGCCCCCGTGCCTCCCAACTGGGACAACACTCAACTTTCTAGAGACCCCTGGTGGCCAGAAAAGACTTCCCCTTCTTTACTTATTTTATCCTCCATACAGGCCCCTGTGGCGGGTAGAACGGGATCATTGGCCCGTCATACAGGGTGCAGGATAGAGGAGTGCCCCGAAGGGCTTGGCTCAGGCCTCCGGAGGCCACCATGTGGCAAGGACTTCCAATCCACTTGGGAATTCCCATAAAAACCAGTCCCATTTGGCCAAGGGACTCCCATCCTCATGAAACCTCACTCCATAGGTTAAGGGTTTGTGCCAAGCTGGATGCCCCTGCAGCGGGCACAGGTAGCCCCAGTGGTGGTCAGGGCAGATCTGCCTGCGCCTACCCAGCAGAGGGGCGTCTGGCCCTGTCCTGTACCTTCTAAGCCTGCACCGAGGCAGGTGGGCTCTGCACACTCCTGGCCAGCATGACCCCCGGTTGTGCTACGTGGGCAGCCGAGCAGAACAGAGAGTCACAGTGACCGGCCCAGGCGGAGGTCCTGAGGTCCTCTCATCCCTGCAGAGAGCTGCCACCTGCCCACGTGGGTGAAGGACGCGCAGGCTGGCCAGGGTGCTGGCATTCCAGAGGACTCTGTGGCCAGGCTCACCTGGGATGGGAGGGGAGGGTGAGCAGCCCTCCAGGTCCTTGTCTGTGTCCAGAAACAAGAATCTTCACTGTAGCCAAGGACAAGGGGAGAAGGGAGGAGGAGGAGGAGGGCAGGATGGTGCCTGGGAGGGAAGGCGGGGGGGCGGGGGCAAGGAGGGGAAGGGGAGGGGGCTGGAGGGGAATGAAGCAGGGGTGACCCTCCAGAGCCCGTGGTGTCAGGGCAGGGCCAGAGGCAGGGCCAGAGGCAGGGCGGCAGGCTGTCCAGGCCCCGCGGTTCTCCCGCACCCGACTTTCCAAGCCATCTTCTGTACCCCACGGCCCCAGCTACAGCCTTTGCCTCCCCACGGTACCTGAGCCGGCCCACCTCCACCACCTGTCACGCCACGCACCCACCTCACCACCCACTCCCGAGGCCTCCCACCTCAGGAGTCAGGGTCTGAAGGGTCAGTTCCAACTCCTGGGCACCAGGACAGGGCCCAGCAGGATGGGACTCTGGTCCCCCAGCTCCTTCCTGGCTCCAGCCACGCCCTGACCTCTTGCTCCCACCCACCTGCAAGCCTCCTGGTGGCCATGTCTTCTTGCTGGGAGGTGCCCATTCCCCAGGACGGATCTCACGGCCTCCCTGGGGCTTCTCCCTGTGCCCCAGCTGAGTCCTCTCCTCATCTGGAAACCCGTCCTGCCAACTCATTTCCTTGAGCTTGTCTGGAGCCAGTGGCGTCCTGTTCAGTATGTGCCTGTTGAATGAATACCGGACGGAGAGTGGGTGCCTTCCCTCTTCCCACCCCGGCAAAGTGTGGGTCCTCCTCGGGGGCCATTTTGAAAGGCCCCCATTGCTGTCCTCTGGCCCCTCCCACTGCCCCCTCCAAGCATCCACCTTAAAGGAGCCTCCAAAGCCAACAGGGGAGGTACCAGATTCCTTGCCTTCTGACCCCTGGCCACCCTGCAGCTTCTCTGCAGCACAGGGACAGCGGCTCCTGAGAGCTGGCCTTTCCAGGAACTGGCTCCAACTCACTTAGGGGGTCTAGGGTGTGGGGGTCCAGCCTCCTGTAACCCTCAGGTGGAGCTGCTTGCCCCCCGCAGGGAGCCCAGAGTTCCCACCCCTGTGCCCCTGCTTCACAGGTCGGGCCCCCAGGTGCTGCAGAGGACTGCATTTTCCAGTGACAACATTACTTGTTTCTCTGGGTCCTTTGTCCTCACTGCCTTGGTGGCACTGGGCACTGCCTTTGTCATAAAACAATCTAGGGTGCTTTCATTTTCCCTGAGAACCATTTACCTCTCTTTCATGCAGAACTGTGGAAGTCTGTTCCCTTGGGCTGACTTTCATGTCGCAAAACTCCACTCAGCTTTTATCTGCTTGGGGGGGTTACCTTGAGGAACTGGGGGTGGCCGGGGGTCTTCCTGACGCAAGGGCGGGGAGCCGTAAATGGGCACCAAGTTCGGAGCCAGCCTCAGTTCCCTGCCCGTCTCCAAGCAAGAGCACCCCACCCTCTGCTCTGGGAAGGGCTCTGAGGCGGAGGGGGGCAGAATCACTCAGAATCCATATTCTCATCTTCTGTTCATTCCAGGGGCCGACAAGCATTCACCAGAAACAGGCGTGTTGGAGCAAGTGGCTTTGGTGGAAAGAGCGCTGGGGAAGGAGTCCGAGACCTGAGTTCGAGTCCCACCACATGTGGATTCCTCGGGATTTTGACATCTGTTGGCCATGTGGCCATCTGTGATCTCTGTCGGACTCCTAAAATGGGCCACTTGGGATTTCCCTTGTCTTTCAGAATATTTGCCCTGGGCATGACGCTGTGTTCTTTCCAAGAGGAACCCCATGTGGTGTTAGCTGAGACACCACCAGCCCACAGCCGTTCCCCAGAGCAGCATCTCCCACTGTGTGGCCACCTCCTTCCTGGGCCTCGGGTTTTCACCTGTGCCCTCCTGGGAGTGCCTGGGGGTGAGCTGCATCCAGGGGTTCTGGGGGAGCATCATACCTACTCCCAGGTTTCCATCCAGGGACCAGCAGGGCATCAGCAGCAGAACTGAGCCAGTCTCAGGTGCGCCTGTCCCTTGGCGGCGTGCAGCTGACCAGGAGCATGGCTAAGGATGACCAGCTGCCTGCTCTTGCCAAGTGGCCTTTGACCCTAGATTTCCAATCCTGCTGGGCCGAGGCCCCTCCAAGCTCCCGCCCAGGAAGGAAACAGCCTCCATCTCCTCTCACAAGCCTCTGGCCTCCGCCCTGCCTGCCGTTCACAGAACTTCCTGCTTTGGACCTGAGCGCAGCCCCCGCCCCCCCAGAGCCCACTTTACAGACAAGAAAGCGGAAGCTCAGGAGGTGAAGCAGCTTTCCAGGCCCCCCTGCCTATGGGAGCTCTTCCCCAAGGACACAGCCCAGCCTGTCTGTGTGCCCCGCAGCCTCCCCACGCTGCTGGACCACCTGGTGATACCTGCAGGACACAAGGGACTGCAGTGGACCATCGTGATTCTTCCCTACTCTGCTCCAGGGGACAAGGGCTACTGCAGCCCCCACCCAGGGAATGGCTGTGCCCTGGGGCACAGGGTCTAGCCAACCTGCCACCTTTTCTTCAGTGGAGGACCCTGTCTAACACCACCTGCTGGCCCCCATCTCCTAAAGCCGAAATCCCCGCTCTGTGACCCCCGCCCACCAACCTGGAGCCCAGGAGACAGCAGGATCACTGAAAGTCCCCAGAGAGGGCTCCAGAGTGTAGGGCTGAGGTCCTGCCCCTGGAAGTCACCCTAGGGGTGGAGGTGGCTGGTTTTCAGTCACAGAGGCATCGCCTACAGGATGGAGGTCAGAGAGGGGAGGAGGTCAAAGAGGCCCGTGGCTCAGGGCACCCATCTCCTCCCCCATGAGTGGCACACGCAGAGCGTTCCTGCGGCTCAGCTCCAGTCCCATCTCAATACTTCAACACAGTTCAATGAGGAGGATAAATACCGCCACTGTGGACATCCAGGACAAACCCGGACCACCCAGCACCTGGGTCCCGGGGGGGGGGGCTCCTTGGTGGGAAGCCTTCAAAAGTGGAGCCCCCTCTTGGGCCCCAGTGTTCCCATCTGTGATGTGGGGGGACAGAAGAGACCTCCATATTGCACCGGGCAGTCTCCTGTTCTCTGGGTATTTAGTGTCCACGTCCTGACCCCTGAGTGGAGAGCCCTCCCAGAGACCATTTCGAGGGTCGTCTGCTCTGTGGCCTGGTGCGGGGTGATCCTGGCGTCCCTCTGCGGTGGCCCGGGAGGCCGGCACCTGGCTGAGCCTGAGGCCCGCGCCGCAGTGCCCCGGGTGAGTGGCTGCTGCGGTGCCCTCGGGCCACCAGGGGGCAGAGGCGCCCATGCGAGGCCGGCGCCCTCGCTCCAGTGAGCCGGGACGGGCGGCGCCCGGTCCACAGAGGGCGACGTGCGGGGGCGGGGGGGGGGCCTGTGCCCTGCAGCCGGGGCGGTCCGCAGGTGCCCAGCCCTGTGCCCAGCCTCCTCTGGGAAGCACGTGGGAGCGCTGCCCCGGCCTCCTGCGTCCGAACCAGGGCTGGGGACCCAGCGACGCCGCTCAGCCCCGCCCGCCCCGGACGCGCGGGGGCGGCACCGGTGGCGCGGAGCCACAGGTCTCCGCCTCGCAGGAGGGGAAACTGAGGCCCGGTGGGCAGCGCCTGGCCTCGCTCGGCGCCGCTCTCCCCGCCCTTTGTGGTGGTGGCAGCGCCGCTGAGGATTTCTTAATTCCCCTCTGAAAAAAGACAGGCTGTGCTTTGTGCAGAAATCGTTATTCAAAAATTACAGCCTCTGGTTGTTTCTATGGAAACATTTTTCACCTTATGCAAATGAAGCGAGAAGCATGAAAACAGCGCCTTCCCTTTCTGCCCCCCTTTTTTCTTCTTGAACCTTGAAAAGCAGCCGCGGAAAGTTCAACCCCGCGGGGCAGAGCGGCTCCCGCGCCTCGACCTGGGAGCAAGTTCCCCGTTAACCGGGGCTTCCGACCCCCGCCCGGCAGGGACTCCAGGTCCCGCCGGTGACTCAGAGGCCGGCTCCCTGACTCCTGCTGAGCATGAGTGGTGGGTGGCAGATGTCACTCCAGAGCGCACCCACCTTGGAAGGGGGCCCCTGCAGCCCACCCAGACTCCCACATGAAGCCCCCCAAAACGCAACTGGAGGGAGGGCACCCTCCTCCTGTCTCCCACCCATGCCCTGAGCACCTGTTGCGGCCACCAGGACAGAGGTGTCAGGCTGCGCTCTCCTCTGGTGCCCATTCAAATCTCAGTGCCGGTGCCTCTTTACTGTGCCACCTTGGACAAGTCACTTTGCCTCTCTGAGCGTCATGTCCCGGTCCTCCAGCTCAAAGCAGGGTGAGAGCACCACCTTGCAAGTATGAAATGACCCTCAGGAACTCAACCTGTGGCACCCCCTAGTCCCTCCAGGGAAGGGGGAGGCCAGGTGAGGGTCTCAGGTCTGGGGTGTGGCTCCCCGGGGAAACTTACCTTGAGCACCCAGAAACCCCCCAGCCGGAGCCCCAAGGAGGCAGCATCCCAGAGCAGCAGAGCCCTGAATGGGAGCCAGAGACCTGGGTTCCAGTTCCAGGGCAGGGTGTCCTCATGGTGGCCTTCAGGCCTCAGTTTCCCCTTCCATAGGAAGCCCCACCATCTCCTGCCCACCCCACAGGCTGTGTGGGGCCCAGGCGTGGCCCCCCAGTGCCCTCCTCACCCAGCCCTGCCTGCCCCTCCAGGGTGCCAGCTTACTCCTTGGCCACGATCGACCTGGATGCGCTGGCTGGCGGGGCCCCTGCTCCTCCTCCTCTGCTGGCTTCTCTCCTCATTTCCCCTCGAGGGCAAGCCCTGAGCTCTGTGATACCTGCTGGGCACTGTTCTACGTGACCCACACACATAATGTTAAGTAAGTAAGCCGGTTGTGCAGATGCTGTTATTATCCCACTTAACAGAGAGAAAACCAGGACACAGAGAGCCTAAGCAACTTGCTCAAGATCCCACAGCTAGTGAGAGGGTGGCTGGAATTAGAAGCAGCTAACTCAACCTTAGGACCATTCGGTGACCACTGCACTCTCATGATCCCGGTTAGCATCTGGGATCTACCAGACTGTCCAAGGCACAAAGGACTGAGGTTTAAGGATGGAAGAAGAGAGTGAGAAGTACTCTCCTGTCCTCTCTGAATCAGACTTCAATTCTCAAAGTTGAAGAGCATCCTGAATGTCCCCTTTCCAAAGAAGACCCTCAGAACAAGCTCCACAGGACCATGAGAGGACAGGGCTGCGCTGCCTGGCAGGCAACAGTGCCCGCCCCTACCCGTCCCAGCCTGCTGAGGGCCTCTGGGCTACCTGTACCAAAGGGGGAATAGCAGGTGCCTTTCTTCTCCCTGCCCCAGTCAAGGGACAAAGGAGGACCCTGCACCCCTTAGATCTAGAGCTGCTCTCTAGAAGGGGAGTGGTCCACCCTTCCCTCCAGCCACTGCCCCAGCAGATCTCTCTTGGGGAGGAAGAGGGGAAACAAGGAGGAGCCAGATGGAGGGTCGGGGAAGGGATAAGGCAACCTGACACTCACCTTTGGAGTAGTGGGGACACTGGGAGATGCTGGCCAAGTGGGTGCTGAGAGGACCCACTGGGTCCTTACGGGCCTGCCCGCTGCAGGGCAGATGAGATCAGTTCCCAACCTCTTGAAGAATTTCTTGGGTTCAATAAGCATCAGGTGCAGCCCGGGGACAGAGGGCATCCAAGTTGAAGCCAGCTGGGAGCCATGGTGCGCGACTGTAATCCCATCTACTCCAGAGGCTGAGGCAGGAGGATCTCAAGTTCCA